TGTTTTTATAGTTTTTATCGTTTTGTTAATGTATATTGTTTATTTTCTTGCTTTTTTCCTTTGTGAGCCGATTTAATAACATCATAATGAACAAGCAAGAAAACTAGAGGTACATTGAACAATGTTGTCTAAGGGGTAATAAAGGATAACAATATTATTCTTCATTTTCCCATATGGCTCACGATTGTCCTTAGAGTAGATGCTCTCTAAATGAATATAAAAAATAAGTGACAATAAGTTGTAGTTACCAGTATTGTCTAAAAGAAGGAGAGCGAATGGCACGAACTAGAAGGATGTATGTATGTATAATCAAGAGAATCATAGCATTCTAGATCCTCCCCCCTGAAGTAATGACTAACAGCGGTTCTCGTGGGAACAAGGGGATTTCAGAATGTTCAAAAAAATATTTTGGAAGAAGTCCTCAATGTTTTCACAAAAGGTGTTTAATTCTCTCTCAATACTACACAAATTGCATTACCTGTGTCTGAATATAAAATGACTCCACTTCAATCTATTAGCAGCTTAGTGTTATAAATATTTATAACAAAAAACTGATACAAAATAACGCATACGACAATTAAACAAACCTTAAAGATTACTTGCGAAAAATCACATGGTAATGAAATTGCAACTATGTATACGAACAATAACATATCATTCAAGTTAGAGTATATATGCTAATTCTGTACTAGCAAGGATATTTATTTTGAGCAGAAGGATAATAATTAATAGTACACTTGCAAGGTCATGTAGAATTGTAAATATTTTAGTGCTGATAGAAAATTATTTATTGTTCACTCAATTGAAAACAAAATTCTTTCACCATTTTTTTTTATGTAAGTATGTTACCCAAGCAGTTGCTTTTCCAAGAAAGTCTAAAAAATCCAGGAAAAATATCAATTACAATTATAAAATCTATACCTCTTTCTCAGTTCTCCAAGTTATTAAAACGTTGATAAACTTTTATAATACATTTACTAGCCTAATGGAATCTTAACAGGAAAATGTTACGGCATCGTTTCAATTAGATTTACCTTATAGCGCCATATAGGAGAGATGCCGTAAATATAACAGTTGTATAGAAAAACAAGAGAGGCACGCAAAGTTAGGTTTATTGATGCCAATAAATAAATATAAGCACTCTGGTATAACATCTGCAGAAATCTGCATACTTAATAGAGGGAGATCTGGAAGGAATTGAGTAAAATGTAAAAGATACCATTGCTTTAGCTATGGGCACAATGACAAAAGTCATTTGCATACCTTTTATAAAGGTTATTCAAGAAAAATTGTTAAATTTAATCTAAAAATAGCAATACATCTTACAAAACAATTAGTATATCTAAGAATTGTATTCAGGTATCATAAACTAAATATATAAAGACTCAAAACCAAAAGACCAACAAAAAAACAACACCTTGGTATAAACAACCACACATTTCCGTCTATCCCCGATAAATAATTTGCAATGAAAAGTCCAAAAGTCATAAAAATTATTTTCTTTGAAATCGTTTTAGGTCAACAGAACATTAATAATTTTTGATAAATCTAATAGGTATATTTTCTATAATTAGTATCAGATTTTCTGATAATATATTTACATTTATCCCTTGACTAAGAAACCGTTCCGTTATTCCAACATCTTAGAAAAATATTAATCCATTACCTTGGGTATTTATTGAATGATATTATTATTTTTGCACTTCTAATCGAGAAGCTTTATAAAATTATTATCCATAAAATAACATAAATAATTAGCCAGCTAGATATTATCACACTTATTGCTTTCTGTCTAAAACAAGTAGAAATATTAGATCAGATGGAATATTTGCAGAAATCGTAGAATAATATAACAAAATTAATACTTGATTTTCTAGAAAGAAAAAACCCTGATACTTGGCTGTATATATAATTGAAATGACTAAAATAATATGAAGCTTAAAATAACTAAATATGTATCTACTAATGCGAACAGTGACGCGTTAACCAACTCAGCTATAACAACATAACTAAATATGTATTATTAATTGATATATTTCCAATCTCTAACCATTATCTCAATATATCATGCAACCCAGTAATAGAATTAAAATAACACAATAAATATTAATGCATTTCCTGGCGTTAAAATATCTGCATAAATCTTGCACTCGGAAATGCAATTTGATAATTAGAACGTGATAATATTCAGCCTTGCAAAGTGAATTATTGCATTTTAAACATATCGATACTCTAATCTCATCTGATTGAAAATAATAGAAAGTTGAAATAATTAAAATTATTTATCCGAAAGTTATCTTAAATTAGATTGAATTTATTTCAAGGTTTAGAAAATATAAACTTTCCTGAACGGTTGGTAATAAATGAAATCAATGAATAAAATCGAATTAATAGATTTTCAGTCTAATTATATCGAAAATTTCAATTGCGAAATTAATATAATCAACTCGATTTAATCACAGCATTTGATATTATTGGACTCTGAATTATTTATATTTATAGAGTTCTGCAATCAAAATCAAATTTCAAATTTAAATCCCAGCTCTCTCTAGAAATTCTACTATAACGACTAATATTATCTCTAACAAAATTGTGGCAAAAATAAAAAATCAGCACATTCACATAAAATGAATTTTAATATGTATTTAAAATTATTTATCATATGAATTTAATTAGACTAGAGACTATAGTAAAAAATCATAAAATCTAATAGAAACAATTTTTTTAAATTATTTCTTGATAAAATCCATAATTTCATTCTTTTTTCACAAATAATCGTATTCATATTTGTGATCATTCGCAGATCACTCTAACCATCATCCCTCTTAATTTTTGAAAAAAATCTTCGATAAATTTTAATTTTAAATTATGCGATTTCTTCAGCCAATTAGACACATAATCCCATTTATCCCTGTATATGGTATTGAAATACCTATTAATAAATCCTATTTGCACTATTTGTTATATTATACTAGAAGGAAGCATCGTATCAATCTGCAATCACGTCCAAAGAACAAAATCGCTCTTAGGGTTTCCTGATACTATTATTACCATAGTCAACGGGCTAGACAATAAATAAAAAATATAATAAAATTACTAGAAAAAAGTGCAAGTATATATTTTAATTGCCCTTTGAATGCTAAAATTTATTTTAGCAAAAAATGCCCTTTAAACATAAATTTAAATATTCAAATTTGAAAAGCAACGTGAAGGCCAACTTGAATGGTCATCACAAATTTGTTTGGGTTGGGTTGGGTTGTTACCATCTTATACGACTATAAAGTTCTAATTGCTGTTAAAATTGTATGAAAAACTACAAAAGTAAAATGAATAAATATTATCCAGACAAATATCTCAATCCACCGATTCTCTGTCTATTAAAATCATCCGAGATATGATACCTGGCAGTGCGTAATGTCATGTATTTTGTTTCCTACCGAGTGAAGGTTAGTCTTTCATGTCGAAACGTTTTTCTCTATCGAATAAAAATGATTTAGAAACGTTAGGCGGATTATAGATCGATCCTTAAAGAGAAGACAGAAAATAATAGGTGATCTGTTTTCATTCTGGAGGCGATTTACACGATAAGGAGATATACATTTGAAAAAAAAATAGTAATAACTGGACATATGAAATTTCCTTTCTCTTCCTTATTGATCACTTAAGTGTACGTTGATATATATCGTTTAATTTAAATTATTAAAGTAAAATGTTTGGAGGATAGATAAAAGTGAAGTGCTTTTTGTGAAATGGTAAGGCTTTCGCTATTAGATTTTATTAGATAAAAATGAAAGTAACTGATTAGTACGATATTTGTACGAGATTCATCGAAATTCATCTAGATTCAACGAGATTCATCTAGATTTGTACGAGATTTAACGATATTTATCGAGATTCGAACGAGATTCATCGAGATTTGACTGGGATTCATCGAGATTCATCAAGATTCGAACGAGATTTGTCAAGATTCATCGAGATTCGACTGAGATTTACCAAGATTTGAACGAGATTTATCTAGATTCTACTGATATTCATCTAAATTCATCAAGATTCGAACGAGATTCATCGAGACTCGTACGAGATTCATCGAGATTCATCGAGATTCATCAAGATTCAAACGAGATTCATCGAGATTCATCAAGATTCAAACGAGATTCATCTAAATTCATCGAGGTTCAAACGAGATTCGACTGAGATTAATCCAGATTCGAGATTCGAACGAAATTCGTCTGAGATTCCGAGAGATTAATCGAGATTCGACGGATATTCATCGAGATTCATCAAGATTCGAACGAGATTTATCGAGATTTATCGAGATTCATCGAGATTTGTACGAGATTCAACGAGATTCATCAAGATTCATCAAGATTCGAACGAGATTCATCTAGATTCATCGAAATTAAGTTGAGATTCGTCGATATTCATCGAGATTCATTAAAATTTGAACAATATTCATCAAGATTCAAACGAGATTTATCTAGATTCGAACGAGATTCATCAAAATTCATCTAGATTCATAAAGATTCGAACGAGTTTCATCAAGATTCATCAAGATTCATCGAGATTCATCAAGATTCGAACGAGATTCGAACGAGATTCATCGAGATTCATCAAGATTTGAACGAGATTCATCGAGATTCGACTGAGATTCATCAAGATTCGAACGAGATTCATCAAGATTCGAACGAGATTCATCAAGATTCATCAAGATCCATCGAGATTCATTAAGATTCATAGAGATTCATCAAGATTCAAACGAGATTCATCGAGTACTGAATAAGAGTAAAAGTGTATAATTCCTCAAACTAGATCAACAAAAAAACGTAGAACTCCTATTTTCATGAAAATGATGATTGTTGTACAACATTTTGAAACTTGGCTTAAGTAAGTAATTTCACTAGTAAATTTCTACGAAAATTCGAAAAATTTTAAATTCAATAGTATGACAAGATTTCAACAATAATGAAATTTGAAATAAATATTAGTTATCTAAGACTTACCATTTGTTGAACTATATTCTCCTATGTACCTCCGTGTCAGGTATCTCACTGTGACAGCTGAAACAGGAAAAAAAGGAATTATTAATTATAAAATTAAAAGAATTGTAATTATTTAAAGTATAAGTAAAATTATTCAAAGAACTTGAACTTCAACCAAAGCTATTGCAAACTTTTGTCCTTCATAACATGAGGAGCAAAAATACTGGATTCAGTTACCATTACCCAAAAGACAAGCCTTCCAAATTTCCTGAAACCCAGCAAGCCAAAAACATAATGCTCCCATTAAAAGCATAACATCGAAATATTAATGTTAATGTTTTGCGTGCAGAATGCATTTGCATTGTTTTATTGTACAAAGTAATAGTATCACGTACCGATGTATGTTGTATTATGTGTTCTTGTAAAGGCAAGCCCTACAGTTTCTTATCATTGATATAGTAGTAGATAAATGATTTCGTAACAGAAATTATACGGTACTGGAATGGATTTATTAGAATAAAGTTACATGTAAAATCTAAGTCTTCGAGGATCACTGGAATCACAAAACCCAGTCCAAAAGGAGACGAGCCCTTACCTTAACACTCCTGAAAATAGTTATCTTTTTCCTAAAGTTGATGTAATTGTATTACTTGTACTACTATTAACAAATATCTTTTGGTAAATAATTGAAAAAATATATACAAGCAAAAACAGGTAAAATTAGTACCTTAATTTTTGATAATATTTACAGAGTACTTATAATTTATTTAACAATTTTTGTACTATGTATTGCACCTATTTAGCTTGCACAAAGATGACTATTACCATGTATACCTATTTATAAAAATATAAATATCTATTTAATAAACTATACCTTTCAAATGTTGACTTTGTAATAAGTGTTAACATTCGTCAAACACGACACCTGAATATTTACATTTATAATTTTTCACTTTCGCTCTCTAAAAACAATTTTTTTCTCTTGTTAATTTGTCATTCAAATATGTGACTATGAAAAAGGTGCTATAAAATTTAGTATTTGCTAAAAAAATGTTTTGCGATCTCTGTTTGCATAAAATACTAGACATGATATCTTTTTTAGCAGATGGTAAAATGAGTAATAATATTTGCTGTGCAAAATTGATATGTTAATAGAAAGAAAAATATATACTTATGCATATATTTTAATTATATTCTTACAATGTTTTCTAGAAGGTCTAAATAAGTATGTAAGATTTGTATCTAAAGCGTCTGAGCAAATCTGTAAATAACTCTGTAAATTTTTGTATTTTTTTATGTGAATATTATTGCATAATTTTCTCTAATTAACGTAACGTTTATTTTGTATATTTACATGATATGACCATCTTTATTATTCTTCATGAGAATTATTTCGCAAAAATAAGATTATCAACTTGAAACTTGCATGTTTTGTTACTTAGTTGGAAATCTGAGAAACAACATGTTGAAATTAAACGTTGTCACATGGAAATAAAAACTGTTACTTTTTTATTTATTATTTTAGCAATCAAAAATTACATATCTAATAGATACTAGAAGATAATTTGAGAAACGAACGATTCCTCTAAAAAAATTACCTTAGTCAATGTCTAATTTTTGTTTTAATCCGGAGTGTTCAACATATCTATCACTACTCGATTTGAATAAATTTCCAATCTTATACTGTTTTTATTCCCAGATCGGTATATTTATATTTTGATATCTATATTTTAATCATCCAAATCGGCTCTCGAAATCGAGGTTAAAATATTGGATACTTGCAAAAGGTGTTTGTTTAGTATATAGTACACATCTATTTTTTCTATGGTTTGCCAAAGTGTTCAGAAGTTTTCAGTATCGATTTTTCTGGGATTACTATAACATACCTTACGGGAAGTTAATAAGTAAATGATTAAATGATAAGAGTTTTTTTCTCTAGAAAATATTTCACTTGAAGACTTATCCATTTCCATCCGGGATGACTAATAACGAAATTGCCTTCGTCGCCAAATACTTGTCAATCAAAATCAATTTCTGAAACTGACCACCCATAACGAATCCGACTAATGTCAAACGAACGGTGAAATTATTTTCTCGATTCATCGAATTGATTAATTAAATAAACATTTTTTATATTTTTATTACGGGAATGCATATCAAATATCATGATAAGATCTTCAGACTAAGGCATCCGCGCGGAGCAAAAGTTGTATTGAGGTAGTCCTTAACTTTTACTTTATATATTCTCATATATATATATATATATATATATATATATATATATATATATATATAATGTCCGAGTGAGGATTAAAAACTTATTGATTTAAATACCTTGTCGCATTTAGTTAGAAAGTGACAGTCCCATCAGTAATTTTTTATATACTTATAATTACGCAAACAGAATTTCGGAAATTAAATAATTATTAAGCGTATATTTATTATTGTTATTATACTGTTATTCATTATCATGCGAATGTGAAAATGATATACGGCTCTGGGTAATTAATGAAAGGGGATTAAATAATGGAATAATATAGAAAACGAATTGCTCACCAGATGAATATTGTAAGAGTATACATTGCAAGAGGATTCTTTATGTGAAGGAAAATAGTTCTTTTAGACAACTATTGTTCATCTCTGATATTTGCACTATTTTAATTCATATCTAATGTCCATTAAACATATTTCCAGTTTTATGCCTACTCCTGTCAACTTGGAAAATATGATCATAATTTATTCTTGAACTACATTTTGTTGTATTCTTGTGTTACGTGATATCATATGTGGGCACATATGTTCTATTGGATTGTGTCACATATGTTAATTTCTTACTTCGTATATGACATATATGTTAATATAAAAGTAACGTTAATATAATTTTCACTCATATTATAAATGTTATTAATAAAGTGGTAATTAACTATATTATTTTATTTGTTTTTCTTCTTGCATAATCTTGGAACGTGCTTTTGCTGGATTACGTTATAGAAAGATAAATTAATCTTGTGGTATTTATATGCCAACTTGTATTAATAGAACTTAAAAAGTAACATTTTAAATACTGTGTATGTTGGAAATATATTTTTAGAGACTGTTCGTAAAAATTAAAGTTACTCACGTTGCAAGTTCTCTTATGAAAAAAAAAATTGTATAAGCTCTCTGAGTTCTATGTAAAAAAGCTCGACTCAGAGCTTAATTATTGTTCAAATTGAAAAAGCTCAATTTTTTGCAATTTAAATTAAACTGTCATTAATTAGAGTTACCTAATTAGACTAAAGCAATTTTTTAGTTTAACTTCATTTTTTTATTTTTGGTTCCGATTATCCTGTATCTATTAACTATTAACTAACATTTTAAGTTTTGAGTATTTAATGTGATTTAATATTTTTTTAAATATATATGACTAGAGTAACTTTTTCTGTTATTTGTGATTTACAACTCTTCAAATTTTCAAAGATTTTTAAGAACACTTGATGCAATGCACTTAATATTTGTATTGAATCAATATTTACACTTTTAAAAGCTCATTGTTAGGACAGAAATATACCAGTACTTATCTGCAACTTCCAGTTTAAAAGTTCCTCTGAACAATATAAGACTTTAGTAAATCGCTGCTTTGTAAAATCTCATAATTATATTAATAACATTTATATTATTTTAATCACACATAAATTGACTTTAAAATTATCTAGTTGTGTTTATAATTATTTTATACTTATATTTGTACATTCAAACTTTCCAGTGAATATACCGAGTAATTTTCAGCACCTTGGAGCAAAAAATTGAACTTGGCTTTGTTGCATTTTTGGCATAGTTGGTATAAATGGTATTGAAAAAAAAAACTTCCAATAGGACTATGATAGCCTACTGAAACTATAGTTCTTATATATTCAACATTTATTATATTGAAAAATATTGTATTAAACTGCATACTAGATTATACATTATACCAATGTGTACAGGATAACTATATATTAAACCTGATATATAGCTTTTACATATCCATCAAAATTTAAAAATGTTTCGTGTGTTTTTTATTGCATTATTAAATTCTTTATTCTTCAAAGTGCTAATCATATTACTTAAAAATACACGACAGACCATGTAGGTTTTTAAATTTTATTTTACTCCTGCGTAAATACAATGTTTACCAAGTAAACATCAATAAAAGTAATGCATATGTTGTGCTCCACCTGTATTATTTACTGTGCAAATATTTGATGTCTATATCCCAGGGATTGAATAGGTTGTTAAATAAATAGACAGAGAATAATGAATTATATTTTACTGTTGGAATAAAATTTATATAAACAATGCTTTATATCAGCTCACAAACAGTAAAAACGCAAAGTCTCCAAGGCAAAGTCACTCACACTAATGTTACCTTATAGAATAATTGTTTTTTCAAATAAGCTTGGATATCAAATCTGGATATCTAATTAACTTGGAGAAGACAGAAGACATATCATTTTCTGATTGAACTCCCATAAATCCTACTACTAATCCACAGGGAAGTTGCCAGAGCTCTTCATTACAAATGATATCCCTTACTGGCTCAGGATTTTTTGTCTATTACTGAAATCTTCCGTCAGCTTACCTACGCTTGCGTATCATATCCATTTTTTTCCAAAATTTATTTTATACAAATGTCGACTTTCTCTTCCCACTTATCCGATTCAAAGTCTGCCTTATTAGCAAAACTATTGTGTTGTAATCCTGGTCGATAAGCATTCGCTATAAATAACGAACGCTTCCGTTTTCCAGCAACGAAATAGATTATCAGCACATCTGTCAACTTCCTATGACTTGTTTATCGCTCTCGTTACAAAGCAACGTGGTGTCCTAATACGATTATATATATGCAAATGTTGCATTTTGATCTTTTTTCGACTTCATCAACATTTTCGCGAACATAATAGAATATTTGATTCATATACCTCGTCAAGTCTTGACCGCGAGCCGGTCTAACTACTTTCGCGGACATTATAACTAACTCAAAGCGTAAGCTGTCAAGAAAAGACTCGAAGAAAACCCACTCCCACACTGATATGGGGACAGGTGAGATGAACTATTCA